GGCGCAACTCAGCTGCAAAAGTGGCTGTGGGAAAAAACCCGTTTTTTGGGAAGGTATCATGGGCAACCACCATGAATCAAATCGACAGTGGAAAAGCTTGAGCAACAGTTTCCGGTGCAGGTACGTCGACCAGCGTCCTGGTCGATATCCTCAGGACACTGCAGAGAGCTTTGTTAAGTGGAGCTCTGCAGGCCTGCTCCACTCCCCTGCCCATGTAAAGTGGAAAGAGTGGTGGTGGAAGACCCTTTGTCCAGGGTTGGACACACACACACACACCGAGTGATAATCCGAAAGCTTTGGAGTATTTAGTGCAAAACCGCAAGAATGCTGGGTCCGTCAATTTGAAGCAGCTCTCAACGCGATCGGCAGCGACGGCGCAGCGGTGTGGAGAGGGTTGCATGAACCACCATGGAAGTAAAAAACACAGCGGCAGGGCGGACCAGTAGTGTCATTGTATTCGAAGCAGGTACACAGGGATGATCAGTCCCTGTTTCCTAGTCCACTGCATGGAACTTCGTTGGCGACAGCCATGCAGCGACTCTGTCGCCCCCTGCGTGAATGAGATCGAGTGGGACCCCGGACACACACACACACACACCCTGCTTCCAATGGGCAATCCCCTTATTTCCCTCTACCTGTGACCACTGAGCAAGAGGTTATCTCTTAAAAATGACGTCTTTGGCTAACACATGGGATCCATTTGGCGCGTACCGCTTGAACTCAGCAGGCAGAGAAGCTTGTGGGGATGACTTTCCCGGTCAAGGCGAGTCTTTTTCAAGAGGTGGTGGGGTGGTGGATCTCAAGGGTCATGTTTCTCATCTTCGGATCGATATGACTCACCACCGATTCGATTCATATTTTTTAGCTCGTTCCTATACTTTCAAGGAAATTTAGAGGCACGATTTCAGGTGTGGTGTGTAGGCCCAGTTAAGCCAAAGTTGTGACTGGCAACCTGTTCATATGAGAATTCGTCAGAGTTCATCTCGGAAAACACTTGTGACTTCGTACTAAAACCAAGCTGCTGGTGTGGGTTCGCATGCGTAAAGATCTCTACTAAAGGATCCTTCGGTTCATATGGATGCACCAACAGAGGTCACTGGCTTGGTCTTCGTGCGGGGAGGAGGTCTTCTTTGTGCCACTTGTGCAGGGGCGCCGAGAGCGAAGTCAAGAGGAACCTTGATATATATATATATATAGAGGTGGAAATGGATCCATCAGGTCATTTTTGCATTTTCATGGCCTCTGTTTGGACGTGGAAAAAACTTTGATTTCAGTCAAATGACCTCCGGGCCAACTTCCTTGGGTTTTTAAATTGCTCTTTCAAGTGACCTCAGTATGCAAGGGTAGGCCTGCTTCTGTGGTGGAGGTCCGGCAATTCCATTTCTGATGTACTGTATATATTTTATACATACACAGCTCCTGACTTTTAACAATATCATGCCCATAGGCCGCTACGCATCCATCACTTCATCCGTGGACATACTTGGGTGACGAAGAAGGCTTTTGCGCTTTGGTAATGTGGTCATCCACACACTCTCCGGCTTTTTCAATTGACAGTCTAGGAATCACTTGGTGTGAGCTACTGCATTATAGAGTTAGACTTGTTTAAATGGATCGATACCGACCAGGGAAACATGCCTATTGATTACGACAGCTTGGAAGCTTTAGTACTCCCCACGATTCGCAGATCCCTTCAAGATCAGATGTGTGCAAAGTTTGCGGGGATTCATGAAACACATGTTTTTTTGCTTACCAAAGCTGGTGCTCACAGCCTACGGCAACTGAGCTTCGTATACCGGTGGTTTCCTCATCGACCTGTTTTGCCGGCACCCCAAGCATTCAATACTGCTCTTCAACAAAATTGAGGCTCCTCATCGTTCCAGTGACTCTAGTGACCCCCCTGATTTACCAGTTGCTTCTGATCAAACAATAAGGTTTGACCCGCGAGACCCGAGACACTTGCCTGGTTATCACAAGTTTTGCCTTGAGAAGCATCCTCATATTCTTCGTTTTACCATGTTACTCTGAGTCTATGCCCAGTTTCCCAAGGCCTGCTACGTTTTTGTTCCCCAACAGCGAAGCTTAGGGGTCTTCAGCCATAGCAAGGACTTTGGAGCAGATCGGAGCAGGTGCCGCAGCAGGTTCCGGAGCAGGTTCCGGAGCAAATTGTGGAGCGGCTTCTGGAGCAAGTTGCCCAGCAGGTCCGGGATAATCCAAGTGTTTGTCGTAGTGTCGTGCCGCTTTCCTGCGCGGAAAAGGTGCCCTGGGCAGGCATCATGAGAAGCTGTTGGTTTTTGGCTTTTAAAGTAGAGGGGGTGCGTAGAGAAGCTAGACTTCAATCAGGTGTTTCGGGGCTGTATAGAATCAGTGAGAGGCTAGAGTCTGAGTCCGAGGCCTTTCATGACATTTTGAGGTATATACATGGGTGGTGTGCTTGCAGCGCTTTGGAGATACGCTGTGTCTCTCTCACGCGCTGAGTGTTGCAGCCGATACGCTGACATGATTCGTGTTGTCAGGCTGATATGTCGTGCTTGTGCGTATGTGGGCACATGATATGTGCTGTCCCGAGGAATTGCTGTGTTGGCATGGTCGCGTGGCAGATTGAAAAGGTGAACACTTCTGAAGACAGCATTGTCTGGCAAAGACACGACCCTTGTTGGTGAACTTGCGATGGTGCCATTGCCTAGTAGGATGCCCAGCTGTTGGGAGTTTTTCTTCGCCTAATTTCTTAAAGACCCACAGGTCTGCAGTAGCATGTTGTTCGTGTGGTGTCGCAGCAGACAGTTCATGGCGGGCTCTCCGTGCACTCCTCCTCATGGAGCATTCGCTCTTCAGCGACGTCACTGCAATTGTTTTCGCCAATAACGAGTCTCTTCGTCACTTCGATGATTTGGACGACCTTTTTGTGGTGGACTTGAAGGCTTTAAATATCGTAACGCAGGCGTCTTCGAAGGCCGCGCAAATTGTGCAAGAGATCCTAAGCCGGTTTGCGAGCGTTGTTTTGCTAAGGGGTACCCTTTCGCGACCCCACAGAAAAGGGAAAAAACAGAACACACTGTTATATTTTTTGACCGTTTTTACCGCGGATATGGTATTGAAAAAGGGGCGCCCTAACGGTTTGAAAATCAAATTCGATTTCTACCGTTTTTACCGCGGATATGGTAGAAGAAAAAGGCCCCCCCCCGTAAAGCCGTTAAACAAGAATCGATTTTTCCGTTTTTACCGCGGATATGGTTTTAAAAAAGGGAGCGCCCCCCCGGTAAGAACGGTAAAACAAAGAAAAGATTTGACTTTTACCGTTTTTGCTGCGGAGATGGTAGAAAAGAAAAGGGTGGATCCATCAGCAAAAACGGAAAAACCATCTATTTTTACCGTTTTTACCGCGGATATGGTAGAAGAAAAAGGAGCAAACGACTGACAAAAATAACAATTTTCAATTTTTACGGCTTTTACCGCGAGGATGCCTCCGGAACAGGTCGCAAGCTAGAAGACCTCTGTAAACAAAAATATTTAATGTTACAGCCCTCGGGTATCTTCCTATAATCTGGTGGGGTTGACCCCTCCTATCATATAGGAGCGTGTGCCCTGTTCGACAAGAGGAGTTTGATGTTTGATCAACATTTAATGACTTTAAACTTTTGCAAGGTAATGAAAACCTACATCACTTGGATCGAACACTTTCGTTTTTTACCGTTTTTACCGCGGATATGGTAGAAGAAAAAGGGGCGACCCTCCGTTAAAAACGGTTGTTAAAAAATAGGACCGTTTGCCCCCCGGTAAAAACGGCACAAAACATCGATTTTTACCGTTTTTACCGCGGATATGGTAGAAGAAAAAGGGGCGCCTCCCCGGTAAAAACGGATCTTTACCGTTTTTACCGCGGGGATGCCTCGGGGGAACCCCGTAGCGCGAACAACTACGCTAAACCAGCACAGAAGGGATCGGGTCAATGCATTTGTGTTTGCTGCTCGTGACAGCTGTGCAGAGGGTACTGCGAGCATCAGCAGGCAAGTCGGAAGAATCGGGTTGCTTTCAGCTTTTCCGCGTGACAAGATAGAACACAGAAACCTTTTGACTCTCGTGCGCTCATGTTTTGACAAGCAACACGGCCTATCGCCCAGCAATACCTTTAAGGCGAATGTAATCTTTGAGACCAGCACTTGACGAGCAAAGCGTGAGGGTCAGACTCGCACGTTCATAGACGGGTGTTGAACACATTGTTTGCAATGGGTATCAAAGGCGGAGCCATGTTTCACGGCGCCTGCAATGTAATTGAAACCCAAAGATAATGATCATGTTTAACACACGCTGCCTGCCAAAAAAGACGACGTTCTCCCCACTCACGAACAGCTGCAAACCTGTTAAAATTAATGCCCAAGCGGACGAAACAACATATTGATCCGCGAGAACTCATTTCCAACTCCACGAATTTGACTTGTAAAGAACGTAGAAGTACAGGCAGGTTCAGGTAGTAACAATTGCCTACTAGTAACAAGTGCATCGCTACTAGTAACAAGTGCAGTACTAGTAGTAACAAGAAGCTAGTAGTAACAAGTAGATGATGCCTTTGAAATGCTTTGGTGAACCTCCGAACGTCATTTGATCGGACCTACTCGACTTCCCCGACCCCTCTTTTCGAACGATGTCACCAATTTCATACCCAAGTTCGTTCTGCCTGCGGTCCGCCTGGAGTATATTGCACAAAATCACTAAATGCAGTTCCTGTACAGTCTTTCGTTTCTAGAGGATATGGGAACATTTTATTTCTGTATTTGGTCCTATTCTATGATTTTGGATTTCACACAAAATGAGTGTACTCAAACTCAAGCTGGTAGAAGGGATGCCCAGCTGTGTGCAAAGGGGCAGGGCCGGCTTGTGGTTGCTGTGAAACTGAGTACATCGCAGCTGCAACATCATTTCCTGATTTCTCACCAAAACACATTGAGTTTGGGTTCACCGTTTTCCTCAGTTCATCTCGAAGTTTTGGGTGAAATGATGAAGCCCCATTTTCCTGAGGCCTTTGAGGCGGAGGATCACAGCTCATTAGTCTTGGGGCCCAGGGCGCATTTGTCTCCTGATGAGGTCATCGCAATGCAAGTGTCCCCAGATACGTGTTTTCATTTTTCCTACCACATATTGGTTCATACTGAAATGAACTTGAGTGTTGGCACTCCCCCAACCAACTGGTTGTAGCGAGCGACATTCTGACCCACACAAACCAGAATTGAAACTTCCCCCTGTTTCAGAAGAACATCGTCCTCCCAGGGGCCGTGCCCATGTTCTGTGTTCGCTGGAGTTTCACCGGTCTGCCTTTTGGAGTCGATGTTCTAAGTACGATCCAGACCATGAGTCAAGCAACCTCAAGATTTGGTGCAAACATGACTCAGATGATTCAGAGCACATGTCTATCTTCGGAAAAGTATCTTCCAATTCATCCCTCATGCTTTGGAGAACACTTGTGCTGTTGGCAGCTTTCCGTCCTAATCATCTGCTTGAGACAGATGTATATACTTCTCATTTAATTATGTTGCTGCACACTTACATTTTATACTGAAGACAGGGCGGATTGAATTTGGAAGGACCCGCGAGAAAATTTCCTGATGGCTGATGGCATGTGTCCTTGAGGCAGCTGTTGCCGGGGAAGACTGGTGCCCACATATCACGATGCGAGCTTACCTGGGCCGAGAATTGCTTGGGAGACAAGGCCCTTTCGGAAAGGACTTTGCGTGACAGCTCTGATACAACATAGACATCTTAGAGCTCCCCCCTCAAGAATCCTGGCATAACTCTTGCTAAGGCTATTGTTTTCAGGTGCTTGGCGTCCAAAGAACTCCAACGACCTTCTTAAGGCTCTGCAGGTGGCGAAGTGCCGGACGTTTTGCAAGGATCACGACGGGTGCTGATCAACACCAGGGTTTCTGCCCCCGAAACAGCTTTATAGTTTTAATGATGACCTTGGGGAAACGGAACTCGCTCCGATTGCAACTTCTCGCCTGGTACTCGACTCGAACTGGGCCAGGCCGAGAAATTCCAGAGCCATCCCAATCCCGGGCCATCGCAAAATGCAGAGCCACATGTTTTTTTCATTTGGGAGCAGGCTCTAGTAGACCGAGCCGCTCACCTAGACCTCGTGATTTTTCCAACATGCCATCTGGGGTCCACGTAGTGACCCAACTACTGTGTAGATGATCCAGTTCATCACCCGCACTGACACTCAACTCCATTCCTCCTGGATCCAAGAACGCCCCCGTTGCATTTCTTAGGGAGTCCCAGATCAGATCCACAGGGATTCAATCGTTCATTGGCTCAGAATGTTGCCAGAACATTTCCATGTGGCAGGCGCTGGCTATATTGCCATCGAGTAGCCCCAAGATCGCGAGCGAGGTGGGACTCCATGGCAGAACGCAGTCGTATTCAGAAACTGCGCTGTATTGAGAAATTAGTCTTCAGAAACTATTTCGTTGTATTCAGATACTATTTTTGCGGTATTCAGAAACTATTTTCGTCGTATCCAGAAACTACTTTGTCGTATTCAGAATCTTTTTCGTGGCATTCAGAAACTATGTTCCTCATATTCTGTAAAATTTGTGGAGGGAGGGTGGGGGGCACGTCGTGTTACCGCGGGTGCTATTTTTTGGGAGAGTGGGTCTGGTGCTATGACTGACTGACCTGACTGACTGACTGACTGACTGACTGACTGACTGACTGACTGACTGACTGACTGACTGACTGACTGACTGACTGACTG